TCTATCTCCCGTTCTCTCTCTCTCTCTCTTTTTATCTATCTATCTATCTATCTCTCATTCTCTCTCTCTTTATCTATCTATCTATCTATCTCCCGTTCTCTCTCTCTCTCTCTTTTTATCTATCTATCTATCTATCTCTCATTCTCTCTCTCTTTATCTATCTATCTATCTATCTCCCGTTCTCTCTCTCTCTCTCTCTCTCTCTCTCTCTCTCTCTTTCTCTCTCTCTCTCTCTTTTTATCTATCTACCTATCTATCTCTCATTCTCTCTCTCTTTATCTATCTATCTATCTATCTCCCGTTCTCTCTCTCTCTCTCTCTCTCTCTCTCGCTCTCTCTTTCTCTCTCTCTCTCTCTTTTTATCTATCTACCTATCTATCTCTCATTCTCTCTCTCTTTATCTATCTATCTATCTATCTCCCGTTCTCTCTCTCTCTCTCTCTCTCTCTCTTCTCTCTTCTCTCTCTCTCTCTCTCTCTCTCTCTCGCTCTCTATTTCTCTCTTTCTCTCTATATCTTGCTGTCTCCCCCTCTCTCTCTCTCTCTCTCTCTCTCTCTCGCTCTCTCTTTCTCTCTCTCTGTCTCTCTCTATCTCTATCTCTCTCTTTCTCTCTCGCTCTCTATCTCTCTCGCTCTCTCGCTCTCTATCTCTCTCTCTCTCTCTCTCTCTCTCTCTCTCTCTTTCTAGCTGTCTCTAATTCACCTCCGTAGTTTCTCGTTAGAGTCCCTTCGTATAGATCTGTATAAAGAGTCTAGAATTTCGCCTGTGAGTACACAAGTAAGTGGTTAATGCGTTTCTACTGTCAATGATATCCGCACACAACGTTCTCTCCTACATACTATAACATCGTCAGTCTGTTTCTTCTCTGCTCCCGTAGACCCCAGTCGGATCCGCGGATCGTATAGCCTGCGATGCCCTTAGTAACAACACCCCGATGTACGTTATTCTAACAGGGAGTTCTATTCAGCTGTTGCGTTGACAAAGCGGTGACGCTGGCTTCATATAGAACGCGCAGATCTAGTGATCTATGGTGCAAAGCTTTAAAACCCCATATATATATATATATATATATATATATATATATATATAATGATCATACATTAATAATATGCCTTATTATAATTTACTAATTATAATAGTATAAATAAGAAAATTGTAATAGTATATTATAGTATAGTATAGAATATTGTATTAGAATAGTAATAGTATAGAAAAGATAATAGTAAAAAAAAAAATAATATACTAACTATAATAAGATTATAGAGTGTCTAATAAGACTACTCTGTATATTACTCTCTTTTGCCAAATATATATACTCGAGTCAAAAGCACGCATTCATAAGTTTATTATTAATCAATTTTTTTACGTTGGTTTACCCTGATATATTTACCTGAGTACACTCTATTATAAGGTTACAGACCATCGACTCTGCTCCGTGCTGCATCGCAGAGTGGCAAGCTAGGCCACATAACAGAACACTGTAAATACAACACTGAATATTTTATAGCTGAAATTAGGCACGTTTATCATAGAACGAGGGCAAACAAAATGGTCTGCCGATCAGCTGATGTAATCACGCAACGCACACACACACACACACACACACACACACACACACACACACACACACACACACACACACACACACACACACACACACACACACACACACACACACACGACGACTACACACACGACACGACACACACACACACACACACACACACACACACAC